CGATCCCAATACGAAGTTCGCGAACATCAGGGATATCCATCGGGCTCAAATCGAAGCGGGTGAAAGGGAGGTTATCACGGCTGAATCCAGCGACTCTGAATGCCCTAGTGAGGCTGGCAGCTGTATTGTAGTGGGTGTGGTTGAGGATCAATAGTTAATAGTAATGAGGAGGTTGGGTTGTGATCCCATCGTTTTTGTGGTGCCAGAAACAGGGGGGTGCCAGGAAGTGGGTATGTTGACTTACCAGCAAAAGGTACGTGGCTTCGTAAAGCTATATAGAAAATCAGCTGACTGCACACTCTCTGCGAAAAGATTATATTATTATGGTTGAAGTAGGATAGAATCTGGCCAGCACCTATTAGATCATACTTTATATATTGCGCCCGAATATGCGAAAGTTGGTATATCAAGACAGAAGGGCGCGGCGGCAATCAGTTGCTCCTGAGGTGGCTCAGACGGCTGCTATTGCGTCCAGGGCTGGGAAGTATCTCTAATCTGACAGGATTAAATGCTTTGAGTTATACTGTAGAGAGGTTGGGTTTACTATGTAATTACCCTTATCGAATAACTATTTGTAATCCTTGATGTGTTCTCCATTATTTCTTGCATCGATCTTATGATATTGGTAACTAATTTCTGGGACGTCAGGAACAGGCAGCGCAACCTCGGCCATCATCCTCAAAAGCCTCTTGAACAGGGGAGATTCCGGCCCTCCAATGAGATGCAGTGTGTTTTGGAGCGCGTAAAGCACATCCCTCGGACCCACCATCATGCTTCCGCCCTTGACTCGAGTGGAATCAAGCAGGTATCTGTTACAGGCCAACAGGTCGACCAGTGCGTCCGTAATACGGAATACCTTAAGCTCCTGTAAAAGCCCCCGCCTACCGCGTTAGATCCTAGTTAAGGACAACATCGCTCGTATTTCTATCATTTATATACCATGCCGAACCCGTGGGTCGTAATTGAGTCTCTGGAGACAGACGCGAAAAGTCGCATAGCCTTCTGGGCCACCAATGCAGGTTCCAATATTGAGAATGCAGCGTCACTTTCTCCGCGGCTGGACATCTGGATATGGCGAAGCGCGTATTGCCACCAAAGGATTTGGATCTAATTGCCCGTCATCAAGACGTTAACACGTTGTGTTTCCTGGAGCCTAGGCGCCACAGCTGCAATGTTGTCCATGGCTGACAGGGCATATTGAAGGTGGTCTACACTTTTAGCATCCATGTAGGCCCCTCTTCTATCCCCTGCTATGATGATATTGTTATTAAGTAGTGTGAAGAGCTGTGCTAAGAGTTGAAAAGATTGGTCAAGATCTCTAACCCCCGGAATGTGGAATTCCGAAGACGGCCAAGCCTGAATCGGCGAAAGTGACGTCGGAAAGTAATTCTGTACGCAAAAAGTCCTTGGTATAATGTCAGACTTTGCCATCGTTGGAAATACCAATGACCATAAGCAAACGGTTGACTTACTTCTCAGATACGAAGACTAGCCAGTAGATGCGGAGGACCAACTCTTTCTGCTCATTGGCCAGGCTGGCTAATGTTTCGGTGAGGTGCAAATCTTGGAGGTGTAGCTGTGTAATTGTCTCATGCAAGTATAGAATCGCGGTTCTTATTCTCCTAGTAATAGTGAAGTAGATATGCAGAAAAAATGCTGTTAACAAAGACTCGGTTGAGAAATCTTCCCGGTCAATGAACTGATCTCGTAGGCGCTGAGCGTGACGGGCAAAGCTTTCGGCAACGGAGCTGAGGTCTGTAGTTGCAGTGTCTTGCTCTGCTAAGCGTATCTGAGAAAGTCGCAATTGGGCGATGACCGTCGCACAGACAGCGCCAGCTAGTGCCCAGGCACCTCGATCACCCTGGGGATTATGGACGAGTCTGGACTTCAGATCTTCAATATTAAGAATGGGCCAGACGCAGGTAAGAGATTCTCGGAACTTGTCTAAATACTCGATGTATAGACGCAATGGCATCTGGCCGCTCTCGTGATCAACAACGGGGCTTACAAGTTCTTGTGAGATAGAACCAAGACTTTGAGATTGACGGATTTCGTTTTGATAGTGTGCCACCTTCTGGGATGTACATTGGCGAGGCCCTTTGGGACCTCGCTTTCGTGGAACTCTCAGAAAGGTACACTCTACAGAGTGTTTCTGGCACTCGAGACAAGGCGGATTACCTTGCATGCGACATCGTACCCGCCTTAAAGAGCAGCCATCGCATGGGTTTGCGGTGCGAGTCCTCCGCTTCTCCATAGTTGTTTGAAGATTTAACGAATGACAGAATTAACCAGCGTAGATGGAAGTCGAGGTAAGGTGAAGGAATGAGAGGACAAAGCTTGGCCAGCAGCAATTGAGCCGAGTAAATTAGACGATGCTCTTATGAGGGGGGGATTTCAGGTGATTTTGCTGCCCACCACTGCCGGCGGCAACGTAAAATAGGTAGCATGCCAGCTAGGTCAAAACTTTGCTAGAGATTTCCGCGAAGATTGCCCCGAAGGCGACAGTTAGACTTCGACACCACCATCATTCTCCCTATCAATTGCGTTTCTTGGCATTGCGCATGGATAGGAATTTGCGAGGGCGAAACTGGCAAGATGGTAGCCGTCTCAGGATTGCCGGCTTGCCGGCTTGCCGATAATTAATAAGTACATGAACCAACTTCAAGTGCAAGGCAACCAACCGCCAGCATGAACAAAATTTACCCTTGTCCGGTTTGCTATAACTTCAACATCTCTTGTGAAGTACGGAGTACACTATTCATATCTTAGACTTAGCTCCCAGCAATAGCTGAATTGATGGTTGAAAATCCAATTTCGTGAAGAGCAACGTTAGGACAAACAGAGCAGGCTTAATAGAGACCCCGTGTCACTCCGTGGTGGTTTAGTCTCTGAAATTCCCGAATATTGGGAAAACGATCAAAGCCAAAGTTGGAGTATAAAGCAGTTGCCGCCAATATCTGCCCCGCGTAAGATGGTTGAGGTTTACTTCACCTTGACAGCCTGTCCAGACTATGCCAGCCGTTTCGAGAGCGCGATGGTTTTTATGGGGCTTACAATTGGGAATCCTCGGGCTTGGTGGATTACACCTACACAGGCTATCTGGGTGTCTTGACCGCTTTTGTCATAGCGCGAGGCTCGTGAACAGGCTGGGCCGTAAGACGTGATTCAATCTGCGCGTTAGCCCGCGTATGTCACATCACTCAGGTCCATGGCCCGGGTGCGAGGGAATCTTACCTAAATTGGCATGCGACACAGTGCTCTTCTTTTCACCACATGACGAAATGGTCGGAGTGGGAGGAAGAAGTAAAGCCTGCGACCATTGTCGGCGTCGGCGTGTCAAGTGTGGTAAGGTCGCCCCCTCTCCTGTAGATACTCACCGGCATGCCCTCTAATCCAAGTGATACAGATCTTGCCGCGCCCGAGTGCGCAAGATGCGTCAAGGCGCAATTGAAATGCGGGGGCTGTCGCGGTCTCAGCTTCATCCAATACAACGGACACAGGGCCGCGACCCCCGGCACCGATGTCAGTGACATCTCTCAGGCAGCACCGATCATAGGATCAAAGACAACTACGCACTCAGTTGTAGTGCCCCGGAGAAACGAGATCATTCCAACCCAGATTGGAAAACAATACTTGACGCTAGGTTCTATGGATGATGTTTACGCCTCTTACGCGATGAATCATCTACTGCACGAGAGCGAGGAGGTCGTGGTAAATCCCGACATAAATCGAACATTGACCAACAAGTGCTTTGTCGCGCTTTCCACGACGATTTTTGGCATCGATAAGAAAGAGCCGCATGTCTTGCAACATGGTCTTTATAGATACGGTACTGCTCTCAAGGCCCTCAACAGGGCGTTAAGTGACCCCCGGGAAAGTCGATCTTTCGACGTTCTAGAGGCCATCATAGTGATGGCCGTTTTCGAAGTGAGTGGCCCTACAAGGCTATACGACAGAATATGGCTCAAATCAATGGTTGTGGGTATTGCAGCTAACCTCAAATGGTCAAGATGATTGCTGGAAACCGCGAAGACGGATGGATAGAACACGCGCGAGGCCTGGAAAGGCTTCTTGACTTCCGAGGACCGACATCGATGCAGCCATTGCCATGTTTGGCACTGTTCGAGAAGGCGCGGCCGTCAATGATTTTCGCTGCTCTTGTCACCCGCAAAACTACCATTCTTTCGAGTACTCTGTGGAAAGGTCTCCCGTGGTTGAAATACCCCGAACGGAAGAATCCACTCCAACTGCTTCTTGATATTGTTGCAGATTGCCCCGAACTATTTGTTTTGCGAGAGCATATCTTCGGTAAAGGTGAAGGGCTTCCTCGCAATTCAGCGCTGATATCTCTGCTTGAAATGGCACAAAAGGTTCTAAACGATCTCGAGACATGGGAGAATTGCTGGTCATCCACTGAGTTGGATCAGTATGATCTAGTCCCAGCGCCGGCCGCTACTACACCAATGCGCTCCGGATACGGCAGGTCCAGTGAGCCAATTTGGGACACCGTTTTTGAATTTCACAGTCTGTATCATGCCAGTACCTTGACTCTGTTTCACGGGACCTTGATCTTACTATTACTTCTGATTCATGGTTTGCAGCTTGCGCTACGAGATCCAGAAGGTCATAGTCCCGAACCTGGGCCTGTACCAATCAGGATACATGAATCTGGCATTCTTATATGCCGCAGTGTGGACTACCATCTTGATAAATTGCGAAACATCGCGAGTTCATCCATTCTATTTCCAATAAGAATGGCGTACGAGGCCGTAGGCAAGTCGGACGAAGTCCTTGGGCTGTGGCTGATGTTCCAACTCAGGCACATTTCGTCCAGCTCTAGCGGTAGATGGGCCATGGCTCGACACGTACTCCGCTTGAACCCTGTCTCGAACATCACGTCAGATAGACTCATACGTGACTACTCAAATTGATAACTTCGATGACATCCATTATATAGGTATTGAGGGAACTCCTTGCCGCTGCCACAATGCTTCTAGTCTGTCCAAGACTCTATCAATAGAAACTCCATCTTCTCTGACTTCTTCCGGTCTTTTGCCTGACTCTTGGTCATTTTGTCTGCGCGCCTTGAATTGGCTTCTTTCTCATGTTCATCCAATCTCTGACATTTCTTCTCAGCTTTCCTCATTTTCTTTTCTTCCTTCCTCTTGATTTTTTTGGACTCAAGTGGCTCTTTCTTGTCTAATTTCTCGGCGGCTTTCCTTTCAGCCTTTTCCATCTTTCGTTGGTTCCTCTCGTACTGCTTCTCCAATTTCGGCACCTTTTTGTGGGTAAGGCTGCCATCTAAACATTGAACATATTCGAATTTATCGAGCGGCTGATCCTGGTTGCTGTTCCTGATTTTGCTTCTTTTCCTTTCTCTCTGCTTTTCTTTCTTCTTAACAGCCCGCTCAATCTGTTTTTCGGTCATTCTGTCAACGAAATTTCTTTCCTTGCTAGGTGGCGGGACTTCAAAGCTAAGAGGGGCGACATATGGAGCAAGAGTCCGCATTCGGCGGTCTTGCAAACTCATCTCATATGTCTCTGGTGTGGTAGGCCTATGGATGGAGACGGTCAGAAGGATGGCACTTTTGCGCTGGATGAAGTGACTCTTACCAGAGCTCTGGGAGTCTCTCACCGCATCCCACTCTGGCGGCCAGAGTTTTGGATTTACATATCGACGCCTTGAGGCCTCGAGGCTCGAAGTAGTCACGGTTGACCTTATCTAGAAACAGCTTGGTCCGAATAATTCGAGTAGCAGCTGTCCCTAGTCCTGCAGTCACATTTGCTATGCCTCCTGCCAATTGTGCCCAATGATAGGGTCTAGGAAAAAAAGTCAGCTTCATTTAGAGCTTCGTGTGAGGAACGTGAAAATCGCTTACACGAGCCCTGCAATGCTACCCGCTGTGTTTAACATCGCCAAAGGAGCAGGCGGGCCTTGAGCCACGGTCAAATTGTCAAGGAATGCCACAAAGTCTTCTGCGTAAATCCCATGAGCCTGCAGAACTGGACTTTATGATCTCGTGAAAGGCAATGGGACTTTGAGAGGTCCAGCAAAGTCTACTCTAGGGATAACTACTGGCTTCTTTAAGTCATCAGTATCAGGCAGGACCCAGCAGTCTGACAGGGAGAGGAAATTTGCTTACTTCGAGCAGGCACTGCGAGCGCCTCGGATCTCTGGGCTCTTGAGGTATCCAGCTTGTTTTGGGCTGAATCTCATATTCCTCATCTCGAAGAGAGGAATGCAAAGATACCATATCTATAGAAAGTGCTGCCGAGGATGGCGAGCCAGAAGATACGGAGTTAGAGGATGACGAGTTTGCGGACAATCTCCGGACATTATCTGATTCAACGACGGAATAAGAAGGGGGTGCAGTACCATGAACGGCGTTCATTGTGGGGAAATCACTTGAGCCTAGCTGTGTATTGCCCATTTTTGACGTTGATGTATGCAAATGTGACTGACGTTCGTGTCTTGTCGGATTAAATGATGTGTCTGCTTAGAGGACTTGATGTGAGGACTTCCAGTGTTGGGCCCGAGGTATTTATAACATCACGACAGGAGAGGCTGGTGATGGAAGTTTCGGAAGGCCACAGGTAACAGACGGAAGATTGTAGTAAACGATACCTAATTCGGTTCATTCCTCGAGATGACGACTGTTTCTGTCTAGATCTTCAGCTACTCTAGATTCCATATTCGTATACTAGACGGTCGGAAAGGCGCCATCGACAGTGTGATGCAGAGGACCACCATTCTTCGATATCCTTCGCCATGATTTACAAGATGATCCGGGCTGCCGATCAATTACTAGATATGGCGCAATCCTCGAGGCACTAAGAATCCCCGCTAATCCCCACCCCTTCCCGACGATCAGTCATCGACCATACTCTATTAGGACCATTCCTCGAGATTGCCAGTTGCTAAAAGCGTGCGAACTGCAGAGTTGACCAAACACCTTCAAGGGCGGGACACTACTCACTTTTGTTCTAACACCTTTCTACAGGCGGGCACTAATTACTTTTGCTATCATCACTTGTAGCTTATCTATTCCGTCAAGCATTAGGTAACGTCAAGGTGTTACACCTTGAGTATCCTTTGTCGCTGACCTCGATTGGGGCTTTTCAACTGACCGTAGGAGAAGGAAACGAGGCAGCTTTGAAACAGGACACGCGGAAATGATACGTATTTAGCGCTGTGCCTCACACGAGGCACATGGCTCCATGTTCAACGGTATTTAGCACTCGATTCGACATTCGCATGATCACGCAGTAGCACATTTCCCAAGTTCTACCTCCGCTCGGATCAATGGAACCGTCCTAGACCTCATGGGAAAACACAAGCGGCAAGAAATGCTCATGCTTTCGATTGGATTTCAGCTAGCAACACGCACCAAGATACCACGACTTGTCTTCATTCATTTTTCACTAGTCGTGCTAGTACCCTCGTCCTCCCACGTCACAGCTATTGGTTCGTGGTTTCCCGAGAACTTCTGACCTGCGAACCAAAGCTCGAATCGCAAATCCGCAGGCGCAACAATGACTCGTATATCGAATTGGCATATATAGAACTTGAAGCCTCGGGAGAAACACGTGCCTCGCTTCTCTTTGAGTATGAGTTGCTCCTGCTGTACGCCCGTGAGGTTGCTCTTAACTTCGCAAAGCTTGAATGCTCCAGCTAAGTATGCACAAAATCAGTCATGTCCTCTCCTCTAAATGTTGTCAATGCTGCGTTGTACAGTTTGCAGACTTACCATGCTTCATACTGCTCGGCAAAAAGGATACTTCATTGTGGGAGGTCACGATCTTAGCGTCCCATGACCTGGTTGTCTCGGCTGCTTTGAGACGAATATCAAATGATTTCACTAACGGCTTCGCTGGATTGATGACATCCCCCTGTGGTTGTGTCAGTGAGCTTACTGGTATTATCATGGGGTCAAGGGACTTACCTTTCGAATGAGCCATTCTATTTGGTTGATTGCCCACTTTTGCTTGTGTTCAAACTGGTCGTCAACAATATCCTCGTTAAAGTGCTTGGCTGGCGAGTAGATCTCTCGAACAATGATCCCGTAGCTAGCTCGCGCTATTCGAGTCGCCAACACCGCCAGATTACCAGATATCATCTTCTGCTGGTGATCAAGGAGTAGGCCGCGCACGACAACGAGTTGTGGGTCCTGGCAAGGGATGACTGCGATCTGGCTCGCATTCGGATGTGGGTAGCTGGTGAACTGTTGCTGGAGCCTATCTCGAACATATGCCGAACTCCCGAGGCCACCGGACAGAATCATATGATCCTATTCATGTCAGAATTCACATCTTGTTCAGTATCATAGATGCGGGACATACGACTTGCTGAGGCCGGTCATTTACGCCCAACCAATCCAACTGCTCCTTGATTCTCCTCATTATGCCTTCGATTTGAACCTCAAACAAGGAGGTGATCTCTTGCCTGAATTCTGTCAGTCAAGATGAAAATTTGACAGCTAGTTAACCAAGTTACTTAGTGAATGCCATCCTCCCGTTTTCAACCCGCAATCCAGGATGGCTAAAGTCATGCGAAACACCATCCATTTGGATTCTGTAGATGGACTGCATGTAGGCTCTCTCTCCAAACTTGTGTTTCACTGTCCTGAAATGGTGGCTCCTTGCCATTCTATTGGCGCAATCGGTGGGCAGTCGATCGTGGGCATCAGGGCAGATGGAGAGTCGCTGAGCTACCAATCGAACGAATGCCCTATCAATGAGGGAGGCACCAATGCCAACCCCTCTCACAGCTGCCATTTGCGACATTTGTGGGAAATCACCATCAGTTGATGTAATTTGCATCAAGGCTAGGTCAGTAGTTCCACCGCCTGCGTCAACCGTTAAAAAGAGATTTCCCAATCGAAACTCCACGGGGCTCGTCTTCAGAGTTGCGACTGCAGCTGCTTCTGCCTCCGTTAGATCAAGCTGTGCCATATGGCATGGTCCTTCGATGCCAAATCGCGCATCGCGTATTGCATTCTTGAATGCGTTCACGACTCCCATTTTAGTCCATGTAGTCGGAGCGCTAAACAAGAAGGTAACTGTCATACTTGCCCAACCACCAAAATGACGTCGACCGCACTGAGTTTCTATGCTCTCTTTGATGTGTCCATATACTTGTTTTAAGTAGTCCGTAATGTATCTTTGCGCGTCAGAAGTGCTGCGTGGAACATGTTCCAGGCCTTGTTTCTGCGCTGCCGCCAACGTATCATCGTCGAGAAAGATCTTGAAGAACTCCCGCCGAGTCTTGCCGGGAACATCTTCGTCATCGTCTGCGCACATGAAACCCCACGAAGAGATACTGCCATCAGCATTGTAGATGATGGTTGTCGGGACTTTTCTTTCTCCCCGATCACCGCTCCCTGGCCAGTCGTTAATGGCTTGGATGGGTGTCCTGGGTGTCATCCAGGCAACCCCTTAGATATCAGTTAGCATATTCTATGAGACCAATAGATGAGCAACTTACCAGTGTAAGTGGTGCCGAGGTCAATAGACACAAGAATGTCGGGTTTGGCAGCCATTGTAAGAGCAGAACCTGTTCGATGTGCATAAGGTAAGGTACGTAGGTCAAGCTGATCTCTAATTACTGCGCTGGAACCCCTCTCTCGAGGAAGAATGGCGAGGCAAGTCTCACGGCGGAAGCCCTCTTTGATTGAAACTCATGGTTCATACCTTTCATGGTCCAAGGGGGAAGGCGCGGGGCTAGTAGTTGGAAACCAGGAAGGCGCGTGTTGGATGTCCTTATCCACCGCCTGATATTCTCCCCACTTGGCTTGCATCCATCCCCGGCCCAGGTAGGAAGGCTGGCTGCATGTAGGTGGCCTAGTCAACTTGCGCCTTCGATGCCTTCGGGCAACCCAGACCCAACGTCCGAGGAAACAGCTTCCGCAGTCTGACTGAAACCAATTTAATGCGGTCAGATTGCACAGGCGTTGAGTTCTGCTGCAGACCGCCGCGCTATCTCGAGGCCCCAGAGATGTGGCGATTTAATGACCCTACCTTACCGTCCGTCTCCTGGTACCTTGAGGCTTCTCCAGTTGGCTGAGCTTGATGATTGACCACCGGAAAGTAGGTGATTTACAAGGGATGCAAATAAGGCAATTCCGCCTCCTACCACCCTGCCAGCTTCTGCGTCTCAGCCTGCCTCCCAACTTCTCTATCTTCACACCCAACCACCGAGTGGGCTGTTCACCTGAAATGGCAAGTATTGCGGTCTCAGTGTAAGACGAGGACTTTTGTGACTCTGCGTGTGGGGGGGTCATCTCTTTTTAAGCGTAACGATGAAGAAATATTGTGTGTTGATTTCAGACCGCATTTGAGCTTGCAAAGCCCACTTCACCGCCGTCGCACGTCAACCTACTCTTAACCTCCTCCATTTGTCTCAATACGGGGACAGTCTGTTCTCAGCAGTCAAGATGTCTGATTCTTCCACCACGCAAAACTCAGCTGCGGCGGCTGGTAGCCTTTCAGGAAGTATAGCATCTGCTACCTCATCAACCTTTCCAGCCTCAGTTGGATCAAGCCAGCTTTCAACGCCGACTCTCAGCACACCTGCTCTGCCACTTGCAGAAATCACCTTAACATCATCTGGGGCCCAGCCTGGTATTGACAGAGGCACACCAACGCAAGTAGCCAACACAATTTTCACGGCTACCCCATACACAAATGCAGCTGCACAAGCACCCATCGCAGTGGCGGTTACTATCTTTGAGTATCCTTTAGCTCATACTACTAGCATCAAGCCAGCGACCAATTCAAGTGCTTCGACGCATTGTCCTCGTCCATCTTCGACCGGTATATCTACTGGGACTATCGCCGGGGCATCAGTAGGTTGTCTGCTGGGCGGCCTTCTGATCGGGGCAATTGTGGCACTAGCGATTTTGCGTCGAAAGCACCAGAAAGATGGAAAGAATATCAAGAAGGAGAATTTCGTGCTGACAACGGAGTCAAAGATTTACGGAGAGCCTAGTTCTGGCCAGTCAAGTAAGGATGTTGACCTCAGCCAATTCCTCCTAGATGCAACTCCCGACAAGGAAATCGGCGACGAATTCCTTTCACTAAGCGAACTGGTACGGTCTCACATTGAGAGTCATTACCATCTACAACCATTGCACTCTTCGGCTTCGCTAATTCCGAGCATTCGCGACTTGGAATTGCCCCAGACTCCAGGGTCAACTCCCGAAAGCGTGGCCGCGATCTGTGCCAATCCGGTCAGTCGACAAGTCGGGCTTCAGCACGTTGTTTCCACGGCCATTCTCAACAGTATCGACTTCCCCTCAGGGGGCCGATTTTCTGTGCTTCCCGAACCAGTGACAAACTTTCTCCGCTCCGTCCCAAGGGATACCCAATACGACAACTCTAGTGGTGAGAATTTGATAGCTCCAGGCCTCCCAGATCACTGAGATTTGCAAAGCTAACATTGGTAACTAGCGAAAATGCTCGCGTTGTCACAATGGCGTAAATTATCGGCGTTTCTACTGCACCCAAGTCGCAACCAACGGACTCCACTTTCAATGCCAGACTCGGCGGCAGCTCAGCATGCTGCTGATCTCACCGCAGCTCTTCAGGTCTTCCTTAGGCCTTTCGTTCCTGCAGAACAGACCAGACTAGAGGAGCAAACGGAACACCTCCAGGCGGTCATTCTGGAATGTGCAAAGTTTGGTTGGTTGGTCATGTCACAACCCAGCGACTGGCATTTCAAGTATGGCCAGGGTGGAAGAAACTCGGGGGTCCGGATGCTCGTCGTTTTTCCTGGTCTTGATAAGTTAAGTGGCAAGGATGGAAAGTTGTATCGGTCACCTCATCAGGTCGTGGCGCCTGTGGTAACACAAGTTTAGGCAGTTGGATTTTGGTCCGGTTGGCTGCAGACTGTATCGACACAAGCAAGCTACTTACTTCAAGTCAGTAACATGACTCAAACTAACATGCAGGCGGGGAAAATTACAAAAGGACCCTGTAGTGTGGCAAGTTGTAAGATGAAGATGTGGATATTGACTGTGTGAGCTATCTTCAGCTCAGCCTGCTCTACCCCTAGAAAAGTCGTGCCGTCACATTGACCCTGGTGAAACCCCATGGACTGTTAGGCGCTAAGACTGTGCTGTTGGTTCAAAATGTGTTGCTTTTTTTTTTCCAAGCACCAATCAGGCTGTTCATCACATTCCCAAGAGAGAAAGCCCAACCGCTAATTACTGTGCCACATGCATGTTGGCTCTCCGTGAGTGCATCTACCCACCCCACCCCCTTCACCACGGCTCTGAGTACCTTGTTATCGAAGAAAGTTAATTCTTTCTAAGTCATAAGTACAAAAATATAGTTTTAATAAAATAGTATAGTACCTACTTAGTACTTCAATTAAAATACTTTTTTAAGCTTATTATAAAAAAAAGATAATTATATTACTAACTACTTATTATTAAGGTCTATAAGTAGCGCTATAGCTTTAATTATTATAATTTTAATTATAATAGCTTTATTTATAATAAGTAAAAAGTCTAATTATAAGTCCCTTAAAAGCTTTTTATTAAGAGTTATAAAAGCTTCTAAGTATATTAAGTTAAAATACTTACTAAAATACTAATAATTAAATTAACCCTATAATAATGACCTTAATAAAAAACTTAAAAAAAAACATTAAAATCCTTATTATTATTAAGTATAATTTACGAAGTATAGTAACGTAGCTATAGAATATTATTAATATATTTTATATTAAAAAGGGTATTATTAGTATTAATAAAATAGATAGGGCCGTATTAATATAGCGCCTCGGCTTCTTTTTATAGTTTAAGGATAATTACTTTAAATAGTATTAAAAGTCTATTAAAAAGCTCTCTCGAGTACTCTAGTATATCTATTACTATCTCTGTAATAATAAGACTCCCAGCGCCTACGCATAAGAGTAGGTTACCTACCTCCAGATAGTAATACCAGCCTACTAACAAGCTGTCGAAACTGCGATTCTGGCGATCCCTTGTTCACCACGGCTCAGATAGCCTAGCTAGCCTTTAACTCCGTATTCAGCCCCAGCCTGATGGTTCATATTTAGGCACTTGCAGATTGAAGATAGGGGCTCGTCTTGTTGCATCCTATGATGCCACAGCGGAGTGTCCTACTCAAGTCGGTTAGTGACTACTGATTGCCCAGGTTCACAGACGACACATAGGCAAGTGAGGAAGCCTTCTGGGTAACATCACCGAATCTCCTCAAACGCAAACGCAGAAGATCCACGCGAGAAGCATGATACCATGTACTTGAAGGCGTTGGGTTCATACCGCAGCCTGCTTGCTATGGCGAAAGCTTGGCCCCAGCAATCAATACGCCCCCTCCAGAATTAGGACATGCACTATGCATTTGCTTACTTTTGTGCTGCTAGACAAGAAGACCTGGGTCGCGTCCGCTAGGTCCATTATCACGGTCGAGCTCGGTACAGAGCTCCTTCTGTTATCTCAATTATGCACATTGTCTCGCTGATGTGGTGTTGAAGTGGCAAGAAACACAGTCTATGGTAACCCTCCTGGTTCTGTTGCTTTCGTGTTAGCTTTTCTAAGGCGTCTTTTTGGATCATGATTTGCTACATCTTCAACAGCTTGCTGATTTGACATTCGGTTGAGTGCATGCAAAGTCAAGCACTGGCGTTTCTCTATGGATCCCCTCAGCGCTCTACGTGCAACTTACTACATTGTTCTCTTTGGTATCGAACTGGATCAGGTCCCACAAGAAGTCAGAAACAGCCTAGAACTTGTGCGTACCTGCCACACCGACTTGCAGTATCTTATCGAAATCCGCAATGAGCTGCTGCCCCTTCTTCAGAGACGCCCCAAAGTCCTTGAGCGTGTCAACAGCATCGTCGAAACAACACACAAGGGCTTGGTCGAGGTCTGTGAGATCGTGGAAAAAAGTCGCCCTCAGCTGAACAATGGAAGGACCCCCTTCAGGAGTAGGCTGTCCTGGATTCTTTTCGACTCCGCACAGTTCAAAGCACAAAGACCGGTCATCAGCCGTCATCATGCTTCCGTTCTCGCAGAATTGAATTTCCTGCGACAGATTGCGCTGCTTGCGCCAACCCCGGAACGCGGTAATGGCGATGATGATGCCTCCAAGAAACCGACGATGTTGTTTGACAACGTTGCACTCTTGGAGGACTTGATCGGGAAGGCCAATACCTCAGGTACCGTACCCACTGTACCCCTTTGTGAACTTAATCCACCATGTATGTTGACGTTGGCTCAGGATCCGTGACCTCATTACCGGCCTACTCAAGCGATATCAACCCCCCCGAGCAACGTCAACCAGCCGATTCAATAACAAGTCAGGCCTTCTTTGCTTTATCCTCCGGCCCTTCTACTGTGTACTTGGCTCTATCTCCTCTGCCTGTACCTACAGATTGTCCTAAACTCCCTTCCGACTTCCTTTCTTCCTCTTGGTCGAAGATTGACATACCCGAGCACCTCCTCGACCAACATCAAGATGCGCCGAGTATACTTGGATATGAGGAAACAGGAGGCGAAGTCCTAGATTCGTCTGATGGAGACGGAATTTCTCTTTTGTTCGGAGATTATGCGAACATGACACCACTTTTATCATCAACGCCATCTGTGTCGAGCGCATCTACATCCATGTCACCGTTGTCTCCTGGTGCTGAGCATCTCCATCGACCAGCCTCCGTGGTGTCTTCCTTGTCGTCTATGCGTGGAACACCCGGGCTTTCCAACTCGGAGACCACATTGGTAGTTCGATCCACCTCGGCAATGTCTTTGGAAAATACAGCCCAGAGGCAACGACCGCCGTCATTCCGTAAACAACATCAATCTGAGGAGTTCGATCATCGGAACCTTGACAGTCCGCCTGTTCGAGGCATGATTCAGGACTTAACATCACCACGAAGCACCTCATCTCCCTCTTCGGCTTCCACGCCTATCTCATCTTCAGCACGTCAGTTTCGCTCGTGGTCGTCGCCATCGTTTTCACAACTAGGTCGACACAGACGTAAAGGCCCCCACCAGTCCAACCCTCCAGATGCGTCATCATCGCCAGATGTAGGAAAGAACCCCAAGGTTCCATATCCTGCTCCCTTTCCTCTAGATGCGAAGGATGATCAAAACGCCGTCTCAAATGGCCGTTTTCGCGCATATAGTCCCATATATCGCAACGAGGATGTCACCAGTCATCTCAACTCTCCATCTCAGCCTCGTCGGCTACAAGACCAGGCATTCAATACAGACTTTACGCACGAACGGCAATCATTGCCGTCACGGGCTCATCTCGCTTGTTACGACCAAGAGAGGGCTCCTCATCCGCTTTCGCAGGCTATTTCTATCAATTCTCTGCGGGGTAGCCATGTATCACAATTCCAGGATAATGTAGTACCCCAGCGAGAGTCTGAGCAAGTTCAAGTTTTCGAGATGCTGGGTTCGATTCCAAGCTTGGATCAATTCACCAGCTATCAACGTCCAAGTAATCAGAGAGACTTCATTGATGAGGCGTCTTCCATGACCAATCAGGGGAAGGAGGGCCCAAGTTCTGTTCCTTCCGACTCGGGGATATTCGAGCTGCCGTAAGCCTACAAGCAAGCACCGATCGAAATGCCTAGGAGGAGGCAATCAGATGGAATTGAACCTTTCAGTCTTGAAAACGTATAGCAGTGACAGCCAGTGTCTTTTCGGCGGAGACGAGTAACGAAAACAATGCCCAATGCCAGTGTTCATACCTTCAATAATTACGATTGTGATGCTTGAGACTCACTTGGATGAAACGTGGAATTGAGCAGTAGATCTTGACATCTGCTCAGTTGTTTGCGAGGCAGTCTGAGGTGGAAATGTGTCAAGGACACATGAGCATGGTGAAGATAGATCTGGCACACTATCACGAACATCGCGGGTCTTTTGCGCATCGGATCGTATGGTCATTGAAGAGGCAAAGTAAGTCAATTCACGTGTCATGATTCGTATCTAGTTCATGGGGGATTAGTTTATTAAGTACAACTTCGTGGCACTCTTGTTTGGTATCTCGGTTTGGTGTATGTCCTTCCCCTGGGGCCTGGTCGACTTCGCCCTTCACCTTTGTACACGATCTTCCCAGTCATCAATGGAATTCCAGTAACACTTATGCAGTAACAGCCTCCTCCTTGGGCTTGGCTTCCTCCACTGCAGGCTCGGCGGCGGGCTTGTCGCCATTAACGTTGGCAGCCTTTGTGAGCTCCTCACGCAGCTTCTGCAGTTCGGCGGCGTGCTTCGCCTCGGCGGCAGCCAGATCCTTCTTGGAGTCCTCGAGGTCCTTCGTCAATGAGTCAACAGCAGAGGTCGACTTCTCGGCCTTCTCCTGCCAGCTGGCAGCTTCCCTCTTAGCGCTCTCCAACTCAGTAGATGCGTCCTTCTTGACGCTCTCGCTAGACTTCTCAAGGTCAGCATACTTGCTCTGCAAGTCCGCCAGCTCCTTGCTCAAACGCGAGGACTCCTCGGCTGACTCGGTCTTCGTCTTGTCGTGAGTTTGCTGCAGAGCGGCATGCTGCTCTTCGAGATCAGAGAGAGACTTCTTTGTGGTAGTGTGCTCCGCCTCAATATCGGCCTTGGCCTTCTCGTGGGACTCCTGCTCTGACTTGTGCTTGGTCTCGGCATCGGCCAGGCTCTGCCTGATGGAGGCGAGCTCAGATCCAGCATCGGATTGTGCCTTGTCGTGCGACTCCTGGAGAACCTTGTACTTCTCCTCCCACTCCGCAACGCTCTTCTTCGCGGCCTCGACTTCAGCGCTAGACTCGGCTTGGGCCTTCTCCTGTCCTTGCTTGAGGACGTTGAACTTCTCCTCCCACTCCGTCACGCTCTTCTTCGCGGCATCAATCTCGGCACTGGAGTCAGACGCAGCCTTCTCCTGGGCCTGCTGCAAGGTGGTGTACTTCTCCTCCCACTCGGCAGCAGTCTTCTTGGCGGCGTCAACTTCAGCGCTGCTTTCAGACTGGGCTTTCTCCTGTGTCTGCTTGAGAGCGTTGAACTTCTCTTCCCACTCTGCAACACTCTTCTTGGTAGCCTCCAACTCTGCGCTGGATTCTGACTGGGTCTGTGCTTGCGCCTCCTGCAGCGTCCTGTACTTTTCCTCGGACTCGGCTAAGCTCTTCTTCACGGATTCCAGCTCTGCGGTGGCAGCGGATTGCGTTTCCTTCTGAGTCTTTTCCAAGCCACTGTACTTTTCCTCCCATTCGGAAACGCCCTTCTTGGCAGCCGCCAGTTCGGCGTCATGAATCTCCTGTAACTTGGTGTACTTCTCTTCGGACTCAGCCAGAGACTTCTTTGCAGACTCAAGCTCGGTACCAGAGGCAGACTGAGCATCCTTGTGCGACCGCTCCAGCTTGTTGTATTTGTCCTCCCACTCGGCAACACTCTTCTTGGCAGACTCGAGCTCCGCCGCGCTCGACTCCTGCAGCTTCGCGTACTTGTCTTCGCTCTGAGCGAGGGAGCTCTTGGCAGTCGCCAAGTCTGCATCCGCCTCAGCCTTGATCTTGTCGTTGGTTTGCTGGAGAGCAGTAAGCTTCTCCTGGGCGTCGGCAAGCTCCTTCTGGGTGGACGACAAGACGGATGCGGAGTCGGACTTGAGGCCATCGAGGGTCTGTTGAAGGCTGGCAACCTTGTCCTGCGCTTCGGCGAGCTCCTTCTTGGTGGCAGCGACCTGCTCCTCGGAACCGATCTTGAGCTTGTTGTGGTTATCCTCGAGCTCGACAAACTTTGTCTGGGCGTCGAGCAGCTCCTTCTTGGCGGCCTCGAGGTCCGCATCAGCTTCCGTCTTACGTTGGTCAAGGGTCAACTGGAGAGCGACAAGCTTTTCTTGGGCATCGGTGAGGTCCTTCTGGGCGGCAGATACGTTGGCGCTGGAACCGCTCTGGAGATCGTCGTGGGTTTTCTGGAGAGCGGTGAACTTTTCTTGGGCATCGCTCAACTCCTTCTTGGCAGCGGCGAGATCGGAATCGGTGTCGGCCTTGAGCTTGTCGAGAGCCTCCTGAAGGGCGGTGTATTTGCTGCCGGCGGTGGCGAGCTCGGCTTCAGTGTCGGACTTGAGCTTGGAGTGCTGGCCTTCGAGGTCGGAAAGTTTGCCCTCGAGGGTGGTAACGGCAGCAACCTTTTCGCCGAGGGACTTGTTCGCGGACTCGGCCTCGGCCTTGATCTTGTCGAGGGTCTCCTGCAAGGTGAATCGGGCCTGGTCGGCATCGGTCAGGCGCTCCTGGAGGGCCTTGAGCTCGTCGCGGAGGGAGACTTCGAGGGTCTCGCGCTCCTTCTTGGCCTCGGCCAGCTGCTCCTTGACGGCGGCAAGATCATCCTCAAGAGCCTTCTTCTCCTGCTGAACCTTATCGAGCTGCTCCTGGAGAGCGGCAAGCTTCTTGTTCGCGTTGTCGAGCTCCTGGGCGCGCTGGGTGTTGGCGTCGCCGTTGGCCTGAAGGTGGTGGTTGATCTTGTCGTTGCTGGTGGCAAGCTCGGACTCGAGAGTGGCGATGCGAGATTTGTTCTCTTGCTTGGTTGATGTCAATTGGGCGTCGAGCTCCTGAATCTTTTTGCGCAAGTCTTCGGCCTCCTCGGAAAGGGAGGTGTACTGCTTCTCCTTCTTGGAAAGGTCCTCCTCGAGGACAGTGATGGTCTCCTCACGGTCGGCAAGCTTCTGCTCGAGCTCTGCAGCAGAGCCCTCAAGCTGGTGACCGTTGCTGGGTGAGAAGACTGAGACAACGTTGCCCATGATGGAGAATTCTCGTCAGACTGAACTAAGGGGAAGGGGGGCCTGTTGTCGGTTCAGTCGAGGGAAGGTAGAGAGGCGGGCAGGGCAGTTGATGGGATAAGATTGGTGAATGGTTAAAGATTTTGGGGGAAAGGCGCAGTGCAGGCAAGACCCATGAACGTCGGTGAGTCGACTTTCCTCGAGGTTTCCTTGGGGTGTGAGGCAACGGTGAGGAGTAGGAGGAGGAGGAGTACGGGATAGTGGTACCGGGAGGGAATTGTCGGTAAAAGGTGAGGCAAGGTAAACAAAGAAAGGCGGTCAAGGGGATTTTCTGCACAGCATAGCACCTGCCTGGCCAGGGTGCTCTTTTTTTTTTTTTTTTCTACATGGCAATCGCTCTTTCTGTATTTTTTTTTGGGCCGTTATCGTGGGTCACTGGTTTTGCACCTGCTGCTTCACTCGTTCATGTGGTGATGGAAATGAGCGACCTGCTTTCTAAGTGGCTGGACCCCTGCTTTGGACCCTCCAAATTATTGGCAGCCCGGCCGTTGGGCCCACTCAAGCTATTCTAATTGGGTGTAGTGGCGGCATCCCCATGGATGTACTATCTCGCAGGCCACAGTCCACAAAGATACCTCTGCATGGCCTGAGGTCACACTTTGGGCGCTCAGGGACCTGTCATTGTGTGACCATTGACCAACGGGCCCGTCAAGGATTTTCCTGCCAAAGACGTGGGGGCCTCTCAATGGCTGCTAATTACTGCTGCTGTTTCTTTACCGTTGGGCGCAAAGTTTTTATTTTATTTTTCAGGTGGTACTGGCACATGGCGGCGGCAAAGAGAAACAATGTGTGTCCCGTATAGATACCTTCCATTGGATATAAACAAACACATTGTGTCTGAATTCGTACTTACTCTGTACAGCTTGGGAAGGTGCTTGGGTGACTACCTTCCCTCAATGCTTCTGCCTGGGAGGGGAGAAGATGGCAGAACCCAATGGAGAAGAGGGGAAATATCTGCTGCCTCAGGTACGAAGCTATTTCACCTTGTCTTGGGCATGAGGGGTCTCCCCTCCGTACATCGCATGGTACCTTACCTGCTTACTTAGGTAGGTACGGTCCACGAATACCTACATAGTAAGAGAAGTTCAAGCACATGTAAAGCAATTGAGTCGTCCCCCTCATCATCTTCTCATGCAATCTCCCACCGTCAATACCTCAGCGAAGGCTGCGGCTGCTTCTGCGGAACATCTCACTGGATCCACATGTTCAGATCTTACTTGAGTCATTGGCACCCAAGCTTAGGCCGGGTTGGACGTCACGACCCAGCCATATACTATGTAGAAACGGATACACCCCTGACATGCCAACTCATTGAAGATAAGCACGTCAACGCGTCACGGCATCGCTTTACTCGAGCATCGTCATCCGCCTTCTTCACTTGTAATTCCAAAGCAAAAGATGCCAATTGGACCATGGCTACCATACTACCTACTGAGGTAAGGTACCTAGGTAAGCTACTTCGTAGGTACCAAGCCTGTGCATCTTCTGCAGACCGCCTGGATGACAGACTCGACATAAGGCCCGCGGCACGGATACCTTACTGTCGGTCACATCACGCAACCCTTGTCACAATCTCCGTCTTGCCCTTCTCATCCACCGTCTGTGCGATTCACCGGACTCTCATTAGAAGCGTCACCAAACACCAAATTTCGGGTGAGTAAATGACATTCATCCACACTGCGCTCTTCTACAAATCCAAATACGACAATTTCAACCATATGTCTTCCACCTTGTTTATTTCTCCCCAGTCTTCACACACTGTATCAACGTGTGGGTACGGATACCATTCCTCACAACCGAGCGCAACCACGCTTCCCCTCATTGGCGCAGAATGCATCCTTGGACGTCCGATCGACACACACCGACGACGGCGGTACCCAAAGTCCTGGGTTCTTCTCAAAAAAGTTGGACGCCCGCAGCATCACGCTCACCGGCTCTGCTGGCATAATTGGGAAGTCCTCCGTCCGGGGAAAGTGCGTGAGACCAAATTGAATGTAGCACACAATATCTGTGTTTTCGATAGACTCGTTCCGAGCCACCCAGTCCACGATTGTCTGGTTATGCGGATGCTCCTCTCCCGTCGACTGGCAGACGTAGTCCCCGGCCGGGAAAAGCTCGTAGTCTTTGTACGGCACTACCCAAAGACTCTTGCGAGCAAACGCCGCCCGTTTGTACACCATGCTCCCTGGTTTGGCCAGAAGAGGCGGGCAATTGGGATTGATGATTTTGTACCCAACCGGCTTTTTGGCTGAAGGGTTGATGCTATTCGGATTGATGATATCCCACGCCCGACTCGTCTCGTGGCAATACACTGCAGCACCCTCCTCCGAAGTACGCAAAGGTGTCTTTTTGCAGTAGAAACCATTGCCAAAGGGGTTTTCTTGTGATCCCACGGGCGCGTCCGATGGTACCGCGTCGCTTTGTAGCACTGAATTGTTTCGCCCATCAATCTCGGGATCAATTCTCAACGAGAAGATATGCTGGTGATTATGGGCATTCAATCGGGGCGCAACCTCGGTGCCGTACGGAGCTGCCGACTCGGATGGGTGCATGCAATACGTGTTCAACATGCCCGTGAGCTTGATCTCGAGTTTATATGTGCCGTCGAGAGTAAAGGTATGGTAGAAAGCATACTCGTAATTGGCCGCCGTGATGATCTGGGAAATGACGAGCTTCCGATCACGGGCTGAAATAACACTGCCATCACGAAAGTCCGTATGCTTGTAGAGAAGTCCGTTATCCTCCTCGTGGATGCAAATCGCGTTTTTGATCATTGCTGGTTCGCCTTTGGATGTCGTCATGACTGCGTCGAGATAATGGATCTCGCCCTTGCAATCGCAGCCAAGCTTGAGCGAGTTCGTCATAAGGCCGCTGCCGTATTCACCAACGTCAAAGGCGTGCTTCCGCTGGTGTGGTGGATCAGGGTTGCCATACGGGACAACCATTTCGACAACGCTAATGCGGTTGAACAGTGTTCGATCTTGTTGTTGTTGTTGGTCGTGGATGCGCACGTCTGAGATCACGATGCCTTCCCGGTAATTGAAACCGATATGCATCTTGTAGCCCGCCCAGAAAAGCTCGTTCCCCTGCATGCGAAACGAAACGCCTTGCGGCTGGGTGATGTCGATAGGCTTGAGCCTAGTGCCATCGTATGACTCTTGAATAAAGTCTGGTAGGTAGTTGTGTTCGTCCAGCGGGACCTTGGTCCGTTCTCCGTTGACATGTCGGACGTCAATAGCGAGGACCTCTTCCGTCTCGGTGTCCACAACCACGGAAAAGTCCAAGGGGTGTGCGTACTGGTTGTCCATTGATGACTTTCGGTAGTAGGGCAGACCTTGCTGCAGACGCCGTTCAAACCCCCAACGGTGGTCGAATCCAATGGCCCAGGCGTCAAAGAACACTTTGGACATATCGGTAATGCCAATCTCACGGCAAACCTCAATGATTTTGGGGTTCAGCCGGGCAACTCGTTCCGCAACGTCGAGGTCTTCAAGAGTCAGGGTCGGTGCGACCTCCGATACTGCTTTCCAGGTCTCAACCTCGCCTTTGGCCAGATTGACAATGACCTCGGCAACCTTGCTTGAACCACGCTCTGCCAGTATGATAGCAAAGGCACGCCGTTCGGGTCGCGGCCCTCGCCCTGCACGAAACTCTGCATACTCGCTCTTGGTAGGTTCACGTAGAGTCAGACAATTGAATTTGACCGAACCAGCGTTTCTGTGCTCACGGATGAGCCTGGCAGCAACTCGTAATTCGTCGATTGACAGCGGATCTGGAATATTACATTAGCTTCACAATATCGCAATTGAACCTGCCAGCAACCGTCTCAGGTACGCAGGCATTGCCGTACGTCAGAAATCAAGACTTTGACATACCAAGTGGATGTATCACTGCTTGCTTAGACAAGTCAGGAGCTTGGTCGCCTTCTTCATGATGGAAGATTGTGTAACCAGGAAGAGAAGTTGTGTCTTTGATCATGTTGACGGAAATATCGTATAAAAGCACAGGGGGGCGAACACAGGCTTCTAACGCCGTCTTAGAATTGAGAGACAACGGCTATACTTATACTCATGGTCACTCGACTGACGAATGGTATTTACGTAAAATATCGTGCCATCTACGAAGTCCACTGGGGCTTTTGCTCGCCGGCCCGTTCAAGCTTTGGTCAGATGGGTATCAGCTTTACGATCCAGATCTCTGACGCACGCGGGGATGACCGGGACAAGGGATGTTGTTAGACTCGTTGTCGTTGATGACTAGTGGGACCGGCCCGGCTGGTGGGGGCGAGAGAACCATGAGTTACCGGCATAACGAGTCGACCACTCCTCAGTAGATGAATCTACCCGGATGATGCGTATCTCCGGCCCCAAAAAGATTAGGTTGTTATTATATGCCAACACTAATCACTCACTCCGAGTGTTATCGACTCCAAAAGGGGGAAGATCCGACATCAGGATGAGGGGAAATAATTATAAGAAGTAGTGCACTGCCGTGAAAGAGGGTATTGGCCGAGACACGCCAACCAACTACCACAAGAGAATGTCACAATCTCGTATTTCCAACCAAGCTTTTCCCCTGCTTCTACCTCTGTTGTCCAAAGCCTCACGAGCGTCCCTGTCCACGCGATCAATATGGATGCTGAGCAAGGTCCCACGTTGAAGCCCTCAACGATGTCGCATCAGGCAGCTCAAGATGCAGTAGATCTCGCCGAACTTGGTCATTCGCAAGCTCTCAGTCGCAAATTCGACACGTGGAGCATGTTGTCGCTCGCCTTTGTCGTTCTAGGCACCTGGTCAGTCTTTGCACAAAGCCTGGCCAGCGGCCTCACCAACGGTGGTCCGATAACCATCCTCTGGGGCCTGTGTTTGGTCACTTTTTGCAATACTTGCATCGGCGTTTCCCTAGGAGAGATGTGCAGCAGTATGCCAACGGCTATGGGTCAGGCATACTGGGTCTCACGG